AGCTTTTTGGTTATCAAACCAATTTTTTAGTGCTTTCACAGCTCCGCAGGATCTCTTGTCTGCGCATAATCATGCGTCAGATTATCATCTAGATGTTTTCTGAGAAAAACAATTTATTTCGCCTTTTCTCGAGAAGACGAAGTATTTTTTTCTTTTATTGTCTCAGATATTTTTTCCATTTCTAGATGGAGCTCTATATTGGTTGTCCATGCTATATAATTTAATCCACTTATTTGTAGAGCCGGAAACTTGAGTTTCTCGATGTTTGCCATTTGTTTTCTAAAATAAAAACATAGAATAATATTAGAAACCTTTATTTAATTTATTTTAAACCATGGAAAACACTTATATAAAAGCGTATAGAAATATAAAATAAAATTAATACATATTTAAAATGAACCGTTTATATTAATAATGCAAGCGATTACTAAAAGAAAAATTGTACAAACAAGTAAAATAATATTCAAACGAAAATCTTGCGGAATAAATTCTACAACGCAAAGATTATAAATACACGAAATAATGATTCTAAAAGCAAATATTAAAGGTAATCGAAACATTCTTCAAAACTTCAAAACTTCAAAATTCTTCTTCTTTTTTCGAGAGAGTTTTTAGAGAGATGAAGAAATTTTGTTTTGATGAAATAAATTAGAAAATGAATGTATTTATAGATTGAAAAATACTATTCCTAGCCGTTGGAAAAATTGAATTTTTTTTTGAAATTTTTTTTTGAAATTTTTCTTTGAGACCGTTGGCGGAAAATATTTAAACAAAAAATTAATCTGAAAAATTAGAGATCAATCAGATAAAAATTATCGATTCAGATAAAAATATTTATACAGGTGAATAAACCTCTTTGTATAATAACCATAATATAAACAAATAACTCACGGTGATATTATGGTGATGGAGTCATCCACATAGAAACAGTAAATAAATATGTGGCGGCTTAGCCGACCGGTAGCAGAAATAAATATTTAAAGCAGTGCATAAAATTAAGGCGACTCAGCCGACCGGTAACAGAAATAAATATTTAAAGCAGTAAATAAAATTTTAGGTAGCTGAGCCAACTATTAACAGAAAATAATTAATTATGGTGCATGAAGCAACCATTGTAAAAAGGTATATATAAAAATTAAAAATGAAGAGTGATCGTGATAACGTGTTATAAAACGTATATGGGTATTTATCATAAAGATGGAAATATTTATAGAATAAATATTTATAAGTATTTATAGAATAAATATTTATAGAAAAAATATTTATACTGGGTGGGAATAGTATACTGAGAATAGAAAGAGAGAGAATTCTATTATCTGATTATTGTTGTGATATTATATTTCTGAATTGTATCTTTACAATGAACGTTTTATCGTTCTATTTATAGAAAAAAAGATAAATTACTATACATGCATAGTAACGATGAACTTTATATAAAATTATAAACTTTTCATGGCTGCACCTAATGTGCTTGATTTCGATGACTTTTGTAACAATTTGGTTATGTTGGAGACTTGGAGTCCACAATTTTTTTAAAATCGGCATTTTTCTCTTCCAGAAGATTTTTTATAAACTGTGACACATTGACATTGACATTGACACTAATGGGGTCTAATTGTGTGCGAAGAAGACGACAAAATATTTTGGAGTTATTGTTGGAATATTAAAAAGACATGGGGTCGATAAAAAATAGCTTTATTGAGTTTTCCTGTTTGACTTAAGTCCAAAGCCAAAGAGTAGGAGGGCATAATCGTCAAATTACGTAATTGAACAAAACAGTGAAAAACTTTATAAAAATAAAAAATAAATAGTGAAAACTTACGAGTAAGAAAACGTCGTGTTGGAGTAAAGCATAGACAGCCCAAATCGCGCCGTTTAAGAAGAGGAAGAACGATAACCAAAACGGCATGTATTTCACGCTCTTTGTTGTCACTACTGTTTTCTGAAAAAATTATATTAAGAAATTAAACACTATCAATCTATTATATTATATGAGATACTATCACGAATTATTGAAAATGAAATGATACGTATGTCTTTATCTAAGATATGGACCTACCAAGTCGTGGTGCATTATAGTAGCTGGAAAAATAAATAAACAATTTGTGAAGTTTATATATATTCAATTTGATATGTGGAAAAATCTAGTGACGTACAAGTTCATATAATTGATATGTGACTGCGATTTTTTGAAGACGTGCTTAAAAATGGTTGTTTGTTTATATATGATGATTGCATGTATGAACAAAAATAACTTTTCTAAAAATAAATGAACAACTACCACTAAAAATAACCACTGACCTTATTTCTGAAAATAAATAAATCTACTATAAAAACGATATTCGAATTCCACTAAGTAAAAGACAAGATTACTAAAAATACAAATGAGTTAAATTAAAATCATTATGTTTGTATACAAAAATTGAATCTTCAGACCAGGTGGGTCGTTTTTGTTTGGAGTATACTCAAAAAATAAAAATTGTAATCAATTAATTTTATGCAAGTCCAAATAGGACCAAGTGGATATGAACAATGACATCTTTTATTGCAAAACGTGGGTGATATAAAATACCAAAACGCTATGATAAAATGTTTTGACAGATGGGGTAAAATTAAGAATGAACTTACCATAGCAGAAAGAGGAGAACCATACATTATAATGTTTAGACCAGCAGATATGAAACCTATCGATTGAGAACGCATCTTCTCATCTTTAAACGCAATTCTCGTCGCCACAATCGCTGCGATTGGGAAAAACACGTTCAACATCGCGACAACTACCACTGTATTCAACTGTAAAAAAAAATAGTGAAAAAGATCACATTGTTGTTAACACATATATATGTAAAGCTCAATTATTTGAACTACCAACTACTTTGTAAATTGTAGAAATACATTAGAAATTCTACTTTACAAGTCATCATAGTATATCTTATATAACAAGTGGATCAAATATTTTAATCAACTTAACTTTAGAGAGAAAAAAAGTGAGACACATTAATCTGATAATCAGATCCAAATCTGAATAAAAATGAACCAAATAAAATGCAGATTTTAACCAGTTATCATATACGAAACACTAACGATCATACATATATGCCCAATTTTTATCAAAAAAAAAGAAGATCATACATATATATAAATCAGAAAATAAAAATAAAATGAAATAAAACCTTGAGATGTCGAGGGGCATAAAAGAGAAAAAGTGAAACGTATATGGTTTCAACGATCGCACCAAAGCCATTAACGGTGGAAACAAGATATTCTCCGGGAGTGGCGATGCCGTAATATGTCCATAGCGATGATCCCAACAACGTACAAATATACGGCAAGCTTTTGTACTCCTCCGTCGATCTCCGCTTCACTATTTTCCAAAACGTCTCCCTGATTATGAAATTTTTTGTATATTAATTTGGACCGATCGATCAATAGTCTAATAAAAAAAAAACTATAGATTATGTAACTCATTCTTTTGTTACTTCTTGCAAAATCAAGAGAGAAAGAGAGACAGCTTACACTGGTGAGAGGAAGACGAGTACGGAGATTACATTTCCTGCGTCAAACACAAATTAAGAGGACTTGTCAACACATATAGTTACCAACACACATATGAGTTTTGTATTGGATCGTGTACTTGTGTATGTACATGTAGAGATTATGAGCATAACACGTGAGAGAAGAAAGTGTTACCTATGACTCCGATATAGAAACTTGGCTCTGCCATTTTTGGAGAATGAGTTTCTGAGAGGGAGAGAGAAAGAGACAGAGAGACAAAGAGAGGGGGAAGAGGAGGCTACTTAATTGGGGGAAACGTGACTTATAGTTTTTATAATGTTTTTTTTTCTGTTCACACTATAATGATCCAAGTATGCAACTGTGTGTGTATATTGGTGTGAATGGTTAGTACTTAGTATTGGATGCATGACAAGAAAACAAAATTGATGATTTGGGTAAAATAAATTAGAGGAATGAAATAAATATATAGTGGACTTTTCTTTTTCTTTTTTTTTCTTTTTTTTTTTTAAGTGGACTTTTCTTTTCTTCCTAAACTGAAGTTTTCTTTCATGTTATGATTAAAGTTTAGTGGAATATAGATTTCCCTCAGTCTGTAATCAAATTGTACCATTTTAGTGGAATGCTAAATATAATTTCTTTTTCTTTTTTTTTCTCCATCAATTTTATTTACATAAAACTTACTTAGGGTGATTTGCAAAAGTAACGCTTTTGAAAGATGAAATTAAATATATAGCACTATAATTGGGGAAATTAAGCAAGTAACATATGAGGGTGGGGAAATGTCGTCAAACTCCCTCTTAGACGAATGAGCAAGTGGACACACGTGTGAAAAAATAGAAGAAGTGAATGAAGTGGGCTTGTGTTTTAAACAACAATTTTACTACTATCTCTAGTTATAGATAAAATAGTACAGAAAATAGTATGTAACCTGTTTCATCTAAACTCCACAGAAATTGCAGACTAACTGTAATTAATGTGCTAACACGAGCGCAAGGTTTTGATACCCACATTGAAAACAAATCAACGGCTCATAAAAAAATCGTTGGAAGTTCGGAGAATTGCATCGATGGAGTATACGTGATACTTAAAAGGAACAAATCGATTATTGTAAGAAAAAAAAACAAATAGATTATTGTTGTCGGCCATGAGTTCGATAACTAAATCTTCAATTTACTGGTTCCGAGTTCTCTATTTCATTTCCATGAATCTAAGAAATTAAAAATTCTCAGATTAACTTTGGTGGGAAAGTGAAGAATAATTAGACAGAATTTGGCGAAAAGATTTCACCGGAGTTTGCTAGTATTCTTCGGCCGACGAAAAATAAAAATAGTCGGAGATCTAATCCATAGTTAACAACTATCCTTGATAGTTTTGATTTTTGTTGAGTTGGTGATGTATGTAAGCTTCATAGGAGAGGAGAAAGGGAGATAAACCAAAACAAAGAGGAGAGAGATGAAAGGAGCACAGTTCACAAAAGGGAAGAAGATGAACAAGAGCGTGCACTTCACACAGAGGGTAAACATGTTTTTAATACAGAAAATATAGAGAATATCTCTTTTCTTTTTTTTGGAGTGCTAGTTTCTTAACTAATAAAAAAAATTTTGGTTATAGAGTCATATTTCCCTAAAATTTAAGGGTGTTTAAGATTCATGGGTCAATCTAACTCAATTCAATCCATAAATCCTAATGAGTTGAAAATTTTGACTCAAATGAGTTATTGAGTCAAATGGGTTGATGGATCAAATGAGTTGGGTTGTAATGGATAAATGGTTTCAATGGTTTATCCATTTAACCTAACAATTCTTGTTAAATTGAATCAAACCAATTCAAATCTCTAAACCGATTTCAATTTGAGTCTAACCAAAACTTCTAAACCGATGGAATATAGTCCTTAATTTTCCCGCCAAAAATGTGAATACACAGTTTTCCCAACAAAATATAAATTTTGTGATTTTTCCGTCAAAACCGTAAATCCGCAATTTACCCGCCAAAAACGTAAATCCGTGATTTTCCCGCAATTTTTTTTTTATTATTTTTAACCAAAAATGAGAATGTAAAATTTTCCCGCGAAAAACGATAATCCATAATTTTCCCGCCAAAAACGTAAATCCGTGATTTTCCCACCATAAATGTAAATCCGTAATTTTTCCGCCAAAAACGTAAATCCATGATTTTCCCCCTAATTTTTTTTATTATTTTTAACCAAAAATGAGAATGTAAAATTTTTCCGCTAAAAACGTAAATCTGTAATTTTCCCGCCAAAACATAACTCCGTGATTTTCCCGCTAAATAATAGTGATGTTGTTGATGATGATGATTATTATTATTATTATATTTTAATTATTAATATACTTATTACATTAGTAGGTTAATGGGTCAATCCATTTAACCTTCTAACTCATCAACAAATGAATTGAGTCAACCCATGAACTCATTTAACTTTAAATTCATTGGGTAATGAGTTGAGTTGAGTTGGGTTAACCATTTTGACACCCCTAATAAAACTAGTACAAGTTACATATTTTATATATATATATATATATATATATATTTCAAATTGAAAATTATCTCTTGGATTTTTAGTCCATAATATGTCCAGATTTTAGACTGATTTTGGCAATCAATATGAGAAAATAAATTTCCTGCAAGAAGTTGCACCATAATTCTATGAATAGGGGTTTGTTAAAACTGATATAGTTTTCTTCTTACTCAAAAAATTCTAAGGTGGGCATAGATACTTGGTAGTTTTTCCGTATCTCATTTGAAAAAAAAAATACTCATTATTGTCAAGACAAATAATAAATAACATAAAATAAATAATTATTAGTAAATATTTAAAATCGCGGATACTCGTTCTCACAAGTTAAATACGAATACTAATTTTTATTACTCTTATAAAATGGGTCAAGTAACAAATACTTTTAAAATAACGGGTACTTGTCTTGTATCCACCCCTAATTTATGCAAGTAAAATGCATTAAATATATAAGGCAGTTTTGTAAAACCTAGTGTTTTAAGCCAAATCTGCAACTAATCCTAGAATATGGAACTGTTATATAAGTAGTAAAATAGCAACCATTGTATTTAACTATAAGGTTAACCTATATAAAAAGCCCGGATGTTTTACTTTTGGTGAAATTAGCAAACTATAAATAGAATGAAGACCCTCTAGTTAATTAAACTATTTCATGTCCCATGTGGTGGCTATTGGCCAAGGCAAAAGTCGTGCCTACATAATTCTACCTTTACTTCAGACTGAAAAACAACTCTTTTTACTTTCTTTTTTTCATATTAAAAGAGTTATTCAAGGTTTCTTAATATATTCTTAAAATACACTAAAAATAAATTTTTGTTAAGTAATCAGAATCAAAGGAAAACGAAGGTATAACTGGTAACTCTGGTGGGGAGATATTCCACTTGGTCACTACTCGCTAGTAAACTTCAAACACAACCCTCTATGACGTAATGACGTTGATGCAACTTTTAAGACTAACAACAATAAATTTTGTCTTTTTTCCGAATTCATGTCTCTTGAAATTTGAGAAATAATGAAATATATAATCTATATATACGTGTATGTGTGTGTATATATATACGGAATAGGGATCGACAAGAAAATTTAGTGAAATCATGGTCGAGGGGCCTTAGGTTGGTGGCTAGACCATTTCGTTCAACCCCACTTTCTTTCATCAAGATAACAAATATTCACAAACATCCTTACCAAAAATACATGCGAAATAAAAACTACCCAAAATTATAATATTCAGGCTCCGACTGGTAACACGTGTTATTAAGGTTGAATTGCAGTCGATGTTATAATTTGATGTAATCTGCAGTAAAAATTATGTGGTATAAACTGTACACTGATGTAGTTTTCTGCTGTAAAAATATGAGTTATCAGTCTGATCAATACAAGTGAATGGTAACTTTTGTGTTTTAAAAATTGCAGTATATGTTGTTAAAACTAATTAATTAAATATCAATAATAATAATAATAATAATATTTTTACAAATTAAATAATAAAATAAAATAATACTAAAAACATAGTTAATTTGAAATATTTTTTTTTACATAATAGTTATAAAACTAATGACTTACATTTTCCTAGCATATTTAAAATTTTATTTGTATTAAATCTAGTCCTATAAATAGTTTTTGATAATTAAATGAAAATAAAAAACAAATTAAAAAATTAAAAGATGTTAAGAAAATTAAGAATTTAAATACCTATTTTTTTGAAATGTTATTGAATTAAACTAAGATAATAATAAAAACAATTTTCATTATTAAACTTAATTTAAGATATTTTCTTCTAATTTGAAACTAATTTTCGTTTTTTTAAATGTAAAAATTATAACTCAACTTACCACATCCTACCTCATGAGAATTTCCATGTTTTTGAGTTAAGTTTTGATTTAGCAATTTAATAAGGAAGATAACTCAAAAATGTAAGTCATTCATAACTCAACAAACTTCAACCTCTAAAGCAAATTTTTAAAAACAAATCATGATTGGTAACATTTTTGAGTTATCTTCCTAATTCAATGATACCACATAGTAACTCATGTCACCAATCACACCTTCAGTGATAAATATTACTTAACATTATTACTTAACATAAATCATATTATCTATTTTAACAAAATAATTTCTACAAAATGCCTTAATTTCTAAATATCAATAAATATGATTAAATTTGCATACATACATATATATATATATATATATATAATACAAACTAGATTTTAAAGTTAGTATAAAAATATTTTGTAAATTGTATCTCCTTATAACATATTTATTTATATTATAGTTTACAATTGTTATTAAGTAACGGTATACCACGAGTCCACGAGAAAATTATTAATAAACTGAGGATTTAACCCGTATTAAAGCGGTATATAAATATTGATTCAAATTAGTCCGTCATATAAATCCTTTCCGAAATATAACCCGTTCCGTAATTTCTTAACCCGTCCCTTGATTTGTTTTTATTTTAAAATTTAATGATTATTTATTATATATAAAAGTTTACAAATCATATCATCCTCTAAGACCACGGGATATTATACCACGGGACAATTTTTAGTTTTATACAATCTTTTCTAAATGAGACTGATTTAATATGTCTAATATTTATGGTATTAAAAAAAAGATTTAATCCGTATTGAAGCCTCGGATTAATGATATTTTAATCTTTTTATTATTGTTGATTCAAAAACCCGTCCCGCCAAAAAACTCATTTATTTTATTAATGTTCTTATTTATGATATGATTCTGAATCATTGTCTAAAAATTTTAATCGATATAGAACGTTGAATACACATTTTCGTCAATTGGATAATATATGTCCGTTTTTAAAATTTCGAATCACAGTATATGCAGAAAAAAATTGATTTTTTTTTGGGGCTTTTGCAAAAATGCCATTTTTTCAATGCCACTTTTCAAAAATACCCCTTTTTTAAAACCTTATAAAAAATGCTCTTAAAAATATAAGACTTACCCAAATATGTATGTAATATTATTAAAACATACACAAACTACATTTCTATGTATCTAAAATCTTATAAATACTTTATAAATACCTTATAAATGTATTTTAAATACCTTTAAAAACCTTTAAAATATCTTGTAAAACCTTTGAAAAACCTTAAAAATCCTTTAAAATAACTTGTAAAACCTTTAAAAACACCTTATAAAACCTTATAAATACTTGGATCGAGTCTTCAAGTAGTAGTTACAATCCATAAGTACCTTATAAACCTAATAAAATTTTATAAAAATTTCAGATTTAAAAAAGGGCATTTTTGAAAATGGACATCTAAAAGGGGCATTTTTGAAAAGGGACACACCAAAAGGAGTATTTTTAACAATTTTCCTTTTTTTTTTTTTACTTTATGTATTATATGATGATTCAAAATAGTTAAAAACAAATCAAACAAAGATGATAGGAGAATCATAATTATAAATCTTAATCAAATCTTCTAAATATCTAAATTATTAAATATGGAATATCCGGTATATGAGTTGGGTTAAATATAACCCGATCCAACAAATTTTTTTGTGAAAGATTTTTTGAAGCGGGTCGGATATCCAAATAACCCGGAAACATTTTTACCCATCCGTCACCAAAGTGACTGCAAAAATACTAGTATATTTCTTTTGTTTGATCAATCAATTACACATTTAAACAAAAAAAAATACTAGTATAGATAAACACTTGAGTATAAAAACAAATGACTGATTCACATTTCGTTCTTTCCTAAGTTTTGTAACTTATTTCACAATTGAAATTACTCTAATGATTTTCCATAATAGCTAATTTCTTAATTCATTAAAATTCACCAAAATCATCCCAAAACTCATTAAAACTCAAATCACTCTAAATTCTTTATTCAATACACCCCTCTTAGATTTAATGAGTATAAAGTTATTATATAAACTCGTGGACTCAAGTCGTGGGCCATGAAGAAAACTAATAACGAAGGTAATAGAAAAGCCTAAGAAGCCCAATTGACCATATTACTTTACTTTCAATTATAGTGAGATTTCTCTTCACTGTAGTATTGTAAAGATAAATATTGCATTTTTTTCTGTTTGAGTCTTTTGCTTTTGATCTCTCAATCGTTCTCGTAAGCAGAAAATGTCAGAGAAAGGAGGCAAAGGGCCCAAATCCTCTCTCAAGTCCAAAGATGGTTTTTGTGATTCCCACTGTTTTTTAATGTGATCGTTGTTACAAAAATGTAAGAAACAACTGGTTTGGTTGACAAACAAAATGCAGTAATAATAATGGGCCTCAGTTATGAATAAAGAATTTAAACTAACACATTGGATCCAAATAGCCTCAAACGACGCCGTATCAAATTTGCAGTGACGAAAAAATCTAGAAAATCTGCTGACTACATTACTGTACTTTTTCTACCACACTCGTCGTCTTGCTTTACGCTTTATTCTCTTCTTTAGCTTTTATTCCTTTGCAGCAAATCTGACTGATTTCAAAATAATTCACCGACGAAATTGAAAAAAAAAAAAATGAGTGACGGGAGGAGGAAGAAGAGTGTTAACGGAGGTGCACCGGCGCAAACTATCTCCGATGATCGGAGATCTAGTCTTCCGGAAGTTGAAGCTTCTCCACCGGCGGGGAAACGAGCTGTTATCAAGAGTGCTGATATGAAAGATGATATGCAGAAGGAAGCTATCGATATCGCCATCTCCGTTAGTCTCTCTCTCTCTCTCATTTTCTCCGATTTGTTGTTTTACATTCTTCGGTTTTTAGGAGTTTCTTATCTGATCTTGAGTTTTAGGGTATGAGTGATACTAATGGGATTTTTTTGGAAGTACGTACTAGTTTATCTCTGGAGTTCGATTTGAGCTTAGTGTGCTCTCGAAGTCTCAATTTGTTAATCTGCGGAACTAGATTCGATTTCTTGTAACTTTTTTTTTCCTGATTAAACGGTGTTTTTGAATTGCGTAATCGATTGGTTCAAATTAGAGTCTGGTGAAGTGTCTCTGGAGTGATTATGGTGCTAAGTAAGGATTTACATTTCAGAATGTGGGATTTTACTTTTGCAGGCATTTGAGAAGTATAGTGTGGAGAAGGATATAGCTGAGAATATAAAGAAGGAGTTTGACAAGAAACATGGTGCTACTTGGCATTGCATTGTCGGTCGCAACTTTGGTTAGTTCTCTCTTCGCTTCATTTCTCCTTAAGTCGGCATTGTTTTGATACTAGTGCTCAGTTAAGGGATATTGATTACTGGTAGCTGAATCTAGTTTTGAACATAACTATTCTTCTTTGCTGTTGCTTCTGTCAATCTGTCTTTGATTCTCGTCTGTTTAATAGTGAGTGAGATGCTTCTGTCAATCCGTCTTTGATTCTCGTCTTGTTAAGACTTTGAGTGAGATCAATGGTTTGCTTGCTTTTCTGTCTTAACTAGATTTATTTTGGAAAGATTGTTCTTCTTCTTGCATTTGAATGGTTTTTTTACCCTTAGCGTTGGAGAAAGTTTAGATTGGGTTTGTTCTCAGTGACATGAAAGTTTGGAATTGCAAATGACAGAGATCTTGGTACCACCAAGCTAGGGTTTAATCCTCTGAAGCAAGTAAGTATGTAAGTCTATAGGAAGTTTCGATCTAGCTTTAGTCGGAATATATTTGCCTTGTTCGAATCTTTGTATGTTTTAGTCTTTTGTGCTTTCTTGAACAATTACGTTTACCTGCATTTAGTATAAAATTTGCTGTCCTGTAAGCATCATGTGGTACCACCTCCCTTAACCTCACAGTTACCAAATGTATTCATGTGCTTAAGGCGATACATCAACAAACAAGTGATATACCGTACTGGCTTTTTATTATTGTCTGTGGAATCTGATTGACATTCTCGTTTGATACTTATTCGACGATATTACTCTATTCCTGCAGGTTCTTATGTAACGCACGAGACAAACCACTTCGTTTACTTCTACCTCGAGCAGAAAGCTGTTCTGCTCTTCAAGTCGGGTTAAGAATTTGAAAACCAAGAAAACTCATTGTGATGTTCAGTCCCATTATCATCATCACGTTGTAGTTAGTTTCTTGTTTTGTATGTATGTGTTCATTTAAGGCTTTAACCAACCAAATTTGGGGAATAAACCCTATGAAAAGTCTTTTAGTACATGCCATGCATCTTCAAATGTAAATTTGATTTCACCAGATTTAAAAACTCAGGTATTATAAATCAGAATTTCCTGTTTCTGTTACTTCTTTTTTCTTCATTCATTTCACCAGATAAAAAAATTCTCGTAATTTGTTATTTTCGAAGTTAAGGGGTCTCATTTGTTAAAAAAAACAGAAGTTTGGGGTTGAAAAAGTAAATTCCGGTTTAGAAGGAGACTCAATGACAAAATTACCGGTTTAGAAGGAGACGCAATGACAAATTTACAAAAGTAACCGAATTTCATTTTTCCACGATTCTGACCAAAACGAGAAAGAAGAAGAAAGAGAGAAGCGAAAAGTGTGTTTGTTGTGTATCGATCGGAAAAATGGCGACGTCGATGATACAGAGGATGTTTAAGCAAGGCACGAAGATCGTATGCGTCGGCCGTAACTACGCCGCTCACGCCAAAGAACTAGGCAACTCCGTTCCCAAGGTTCTTCAATCTCTTTCTTTTTGAATCAACTGGGATTCTCATCTCTGCAATTCAATTGTTTTGGAGTTTTTGTTATTCTCTTTCATTGATCCAGAATCGAAAGTTTATGCATGTTGTTGATTGCCTCCAAAAACTAAAAATCTGAGAGAGAAATTTTGTTGTTGTTTGAATTGGGAAATAGGAACCAGTTATATTCTTGAAGCCAACATCGTCGTATTTGGAAAATGGAGGAACAATTGAGATCCCACATCCTTTGGATTCACTTCACCATGAGGTGGAACTTGCTTTAGTGATTGGACAGAAGGCTAGAGATGTACCTGAATCAATAGCTATGGATTACATTGGAGGTATTTTAGTGTATAATGTCAATATGAGTAGCTTCTTTTGATTTGTATAATGCCATTTCTTATTGTTCTCTTTGTTTTTGAAGGATATGCTGTTGCTCTTGATATGACTGCTAGGGAACTTCAAGCTACCGCTAAGGTAGGAAACCGGTTTCAGTTCATATCAATGGATCTTGTGGAGATTTGCATGTTCATTTTAGTCTTTAAACCCGCACAAATGGTCAAAACATCGATGATAGAACTCATTCTTTGTTGAAAAGTCTTCTATAAGCTCTATGGATCGAGATTTTCGTATTTGGGATCGTGAATTGGGTTTTTCAGATTTTTTTCAAGCACCATTTATATATAAACCAAAATCATGAATGTGTGGTTTTGCATGAAGAGTAATCTGTTTGTTAACTTCAGTTTTGTGCTTAAGCATATATCGTGTTTACATTCTCGTTTTCAGGCATCTGGTCTCCCATGGACGCTTGCTAAAGGACAAGATACCTTCACTCCTATCAGCTCTGTTGTAAGTATTGGTCTTAAACCTTGATGCTAGTTACAACACACCATATAGTTTATATGAAAAATGCTACTTTTGTTCTGTTTGATGGACCCATTTATTTCGTTTGTCTGATTGCAGTGTGATCAGATTGTTGTAGCATATGTGGTTAGGGTATGACCACAAGTTATTTGCTTTTTCATTTTACGCCTGTTGTGTGATTTATATTTAATTGAGACTAGAAAAGTCTCATTACAGGAGGTCTAATGCCAAAATAGCCAACTTGAAATGAGGATAATATTCCCTGTCCTGCCGAGAATCAAAACACTTTTGATTGTCTAGTTTAAGTTCTTCTATCGTGTTGCTTTTCTGACATGAGGATCATATGCCATATCCTGCTGAGAATTAAAACTCTTCTTGATTCTTCTAGTTTGAATTTTGTCTCTTCTGTCGCTTTTCAGCTGCCAAAGGCGATGGTGCATGATCCCGATAATCTAGAACTTTGGCTCAAGGTTTGTCCCTCCCCTACTCTCTTGTTCTGTTGTCAGTAATTTCCACACTTAAGAATCTGCAGGGACTAAATTGAATCATCTAATATGTGACAGGTTGATGGTGAAACAAGACAGAAGGGCTTGACAAAAGATATGATCTTCAAGGTCCCGTACCTCATCAGCTACATAAGTTCTATAATGACCCTTTACGAAGGAGACGTCATCTTAACAGGTATCTACTTACAACCTTCTGTTTGTTTTCCCATCTTAAACCATTCTGAACTTATAGGAGAATCCCTTCAAATTATAGGCACACCAGAAGGTGTTGGGCCTGTAAAGATAGGTCAGAAGATAACGGCCGGGATCACCGGTCTATCTGAAGTTCAGTTCGATGTGGAGAGGCGTGTAAAGCCCTTGAGCTAAGAAGTGGTTTTATTTTTCTCATACAAAATGTCAATTTTATAAAAGCATCTCTAATTTTCATCACTTACACTGTGTTTCCTTACACTTAGGAAGGGAGAAATAAAACTCGTACTCCTTTCATTTGTAATCTCTAAAACAATGGCTGTAAGACCGGTTTAGATTGTTTATACGGGATGGGAGTATTTCGAAAGTTGTGATATTTATTGTTGGAGTCAGCAAATTTCGATGTATGTTTACAACATTCCCATTAATCCTGATTATGTATGATTATGATATATACAAGTGAGCTTAAGAGTTTCTCAGATTCAAAGGGAGTTTAATCAAAAGAAGCCGGAATCTAGTTAAGGGCTTAAGGATGGATACAAGAGAAGTTTGAACCAACCGAAACAAACTATCCAAAACTAGTGAAGATAACACAGACCACTGAAAAATGATCTTCAGATTGAATCTGAATATAACTCAGAATGTTTTCCTTCAAAAGTTGTAATGGTATCCTAGTCAGCGACTACTAACGGCTCAACTAACAGCGTTACTCGATTTGTTGGTTTTGACCGGATTTTGAATTGTTCGGCTAGAAAATTCAAATTTTAAGTGAGTTTATGCAGTTTTAATCATTGAGTTTATAGTTGACAAAAAAAATTATATATACACACTACTATGCTTTCGTGGGCTCAAGTCGTGGGCTTTTAAGGAAACTATGCCTATTAAGCCCAATATGGCAGTGATTTCTCTCCACTGTAGTTTTTGGAAAGATTGCATTTTTATCTCTTCGCTTTTTCTTTTATTCCCTCCCTCAATCGTTCTCTCGTAGCAGCAAAATGTCAGAGAAAGGAGGCAAAGGGCTCAAATCCTCCCTCAAATCCAAAGATGGTATGTGTATTTCCCACTCTACTTTTTTGTTGTTAACACTATTTTTCTCGAGATTCGTTTCTCACTTTCTAGGGTTTTTGGTTGCAGGAGGGAAGGATGGGAACTCAACAAAGCTGAAGAAGGGTAGAAAAATCCACTTTGATCAAGGTTTTAACCTTTTCTTCTTCTCTACATTAGATTTCGAATCCAAAGTCTCAAGCTTTTTTCGTTTTGATTTGATAAAAATGTCATCTTTTTACTGTATTTGCAGGGACTCCACCACCTAATTACAAGATTCTCAATGGTTCTTCTGATCCACTACCATTTCAGAGTTCTGCTGCTAAAGTTGGTAAGGGAGACAAACCTACCAAGTCTAGCAAAAACTCTCTGCAGTCGTTTGAGCTCAAAGGTTTGTGAAATTTTCCCACTTTGCTTGTGAGGGCTTTGGTTCGTTCTTGTTCTGTGATTTGATCTTTTGATGTCTGATGATTGGACTTTGTAGATCTTCCTGAGAATGCTGAATGCATGATGGATTGTGAAGCTTTTCAGATATTAGATGGAATTAAGGGACATTTGGTTGGGTTGTCTGAAGATCCTTCCATCAAAATTCCTGTGTTAGTATCTCTAAACACAACATTTCTCTATGCTGTGGAAAGTCTCTGGCTCTCTTTTAACATGTAGTTTTTGTTTTTCAGATCTTATGACAGAGCATTGGCTTATGTGGATAGTTGTGTTCATTACTCAAACCCTCAATCTGTCAGAAAAGTCCTTGAGTATCCTTTTACCTGCTTTGTTTAGGCTCCAGAACCAGAAGCTTGTTTTGCGGAGTTGGATTAGACCCGTTTTCAGTTTTCTCATGAATGTTTGTCTTCCTCATTCTGTGTGTTTTTTGATCGTCTGTTGTTTTCAAACTTAGCTGAATATCAGACCTCTGAAAACGCATGGTGTCTCTGATGGCGAGGTAACAATCTCTACTACAAGTATTTGAATCCAAAGCTTTACGGATCATTCTTTTCTAATGCTGAGTTTGTTATGTGCAGATGTGTGTGATTGCGAATGCTTCCCCAGATACCGTAGATGAAGTTCTTGCCTTTATTCCATCGCTGAAGGTGAGGTTTTTAGAGCTACCAGAGTCTGATGTGTGTTGTTATTCTTTGAGATCTTAATTATCTTTGGGACTCTTATCAAATGCAGGCTAAAAAAGAGGTGATCAATCAACCCCTACAAGATGCATTGGTGGAGCTAGCCAAGCTGAAGAAATCGGGATGATGAGCAGACTGCTGCAGTCAATGGTTCAATGCTAGGATTAGTTTGCAGCTAAACCTAAAATGTATTTGGCGTCTTTGCCTTTCTCAACATTAACAACTTTTGTCTAGTTTTGGTAATTGGCACTATCTAATCATTAGTGTGATTTAGTATATCGGTTGGGAATCATCTGTATTTGTCGTTGACAATAGCATTCATTTCGCATTTGAAGACACCAACTTCCTTCATTTCGTGTTCTTATATGGGAATATTATAAATCTGACTTGAATGCAATCTACCTAGTTTATGACTTTATTATGAGCTTCTTGTGAAAAGCTTCGCGAGCATATGTGATGTTCTCGTTGTAACTTTCGACACCATGGCGATGATTCAACTTGCTGTCTCGTCTCCTCTCCCAGCTGAAGGTGTATCTGAGGATTCCGAACATGTGGGTACGTAGAGCCTTTAGGATTCCCATCCAACGATCTTCTTAGTTTTTCAACGACCTAGTGGGCAGTGATATTACTCCTACAGAGGTCTCTACAACATGCTTTCCGAAGAAATGTACCGTCTCCAAGCGACTCACCGAGAGAAGGTTGTTCCTGCCCATGTTATTGAATTCCTGTTTCACCATACCCCTTTTCGACCAAATGCCTTACAAAGACTGTCACTTGGACTACCTTAATTTCCGGTTACAAGCATCATGATCGACCCCGAGCCTTGGATAGTTGGATTCAGTCTCAGTGAGTTCACTTTGTCTAGTGTGATAAGAGCTATTTTTTCTTTTCTTATTGTTGATAATTTCGTGATAAACGCGATCGCAGCTGAGCCTTGCGGCGGTTGTGGTCACCAACTTTACGGCTTCAATTTGAATGTTCACATTGGTAGCTGATCTTCGTAACTTGTACACCGCGATGGTCTTATCTTATGTATGATGCGTTAAGAGTAGGAATGAGAATTTCTTGAAATGCCTTGATCTCTGGCCATGCTAGGAAATGTGGTACAGAGAAGGCTCTAGAGCTTTTTTCATCCTTTACATATATTAAACTCGTATATAGCAAGTATTAATGATCATCCAATATATGTACTATTTACTTTTTTGGATCACGTCTCTAGCAAGATTCAAATATAGAACAAATTTTACATTTTTTTCTTTTCAAAAGTTTTTTTTTTTTCTTAGTCTGATTTTCAATAAATTTACATTTTTCATGAAATTTTATGGACTTACTTTCTTTTATCTTCATAATACATATGTTAATTTACTTGTTGAATCATAGACATCCAATTTTTTTCTCTAAATATTGGAAATTATCAAACTCTCCATCGATTTGAATTTTCCATTTTCTTTACGATACCTAATGAGTATTTTACATTTTTAATGAGAATATGAGACGATAAATTTATCTATATATATACATGTACAGGGATAGACAAATATCGTAGCAAGAACTTTAAACAATCTCACAGCAAAAAAAAAAAAACTTGTTTAACAAAAGAATCGATCACAATGTCGCTAACACGCTTTGCTATACTTTGCATAATCTTCGTTTCCCTCTTTGGTGTGCATGCATGTATGTATATTTATAGTATAGTTTTTGCTTTTTGTTCATAGATAACTACCATCCTTATATTATAATCATGTCTAATTACTGTTATTTCTTGCTAGGTGAAAACGTGGAGGCTTTCGAAGAGAACAATATCAATCTAAGTAACATAACATGTTCACGAGGAATATGCACCGATTTACACTACTGTTTTTGCTGCATCAAAAACGACAGAGATTGTTACGGTACCAAAGACGATTGTGTGCGTGAATGCACGAAGGTTTACGGGCCAATAAACACGGTCCCAAAGAAAAACGGAGCAAGCAAAGCATTAGGGCTACCAATCTTGCCTGCTTTTCTTATGGCAATCTATTTATTTTGCTTTTAGGATATTAGTCATTAGATCTTTAACGTTACCAAAATTTTGTGTTTTTAATTAACCGCACCACTTCCCGTTTAAGAAATTTCAAGAGCGTTGTTATCTTTATGACAATGGTGTAGCTTTATTTATTTTGTTTGTTTTTCCAATAATAATTATCTTATTAAAGTACTGATTATATGACTCGAACAATTTATTTATACGAATTGTAAATGAGTCCAATAATTTTGAGAAAGTCTCGGCCGTGAGGGACTACTTAAAAGGCATCTCTAATTTTCAGAAGATTTATCAAAAAAATAAAAATTCAGAAGTTTTACTAAGAGTTCTTCACAAGTCACAAGTCACAAGTCACAATGAACTCTCTTAAGCTTGTGCCAATTCATCAAGCACGTCAGCTAGAGTTAACTCTAGTTAAGTTTTTATAGCTAGCTTCTTCGATTTTTCATCCGATTACGCCCAATTATGCTAACTAGAGCTTTTTTGGTAATAAAATTTCTTCGAAATTTTTTTTGATCACAATATGTCGTTATCACACTTTGATACCCTTTGCATCATCTTTGTTTCTCTCTTTGGTATGTGCATCATTGTATGTTTGATCATTTTGTAACGGTGGCTTACTAGTCACCGTATTGTTAAAAGAAAACGAAAGCCGCCAAGTTTTCATCATTTAATGGACGCTTTTACAATCAATTCTTAATATGTACGTGTCACACTTCATATATACAGTACACTCTTGAATATTTTCTAGTGGAAAATAAATATAATTCTTTGTTAGCTTACAAGACTTCCTTTTTTTTTTCTTATATACATGCATATGTTTATTTACATGTCGAATCATAGACTTCAATTTTTTTCCTCTTTAAATATAGGAAAGTATCTAACTCCATAGATTTAATTAACTTTTCTAATTTCTTTACGATACTTAATTAGTGGAAGGAATATTTATATTTTCAATGAGATTACCATATATATGAGATTATATATTATATTATATATGCCTATGTGTGTGTAAGAAGGGAGAAAGAGTTATTCGTAGCTAGGGCTTTTGCCAATCTCACAGCCAAAAAAAAAAAACACTCGTTTAACAAAGGAATCGATCACAAATGTGGCTATTACGGTTTGCTATACTTTGCATAGTTTTCGTTTCCCTCTTCGGTGTGCATGAATGTAAGTATATACAGAAAGATTTTGGTTTAGTACTTCATCAAAATTCACTCCCATAGTCCCATCCATGATCCATCTATTATAATCATCATTTTTAACTGTTTTTCTTAGGTGAACACGTGGAGGCTTCCGAGGATAACAAGATAAATCTAAGTGATGCATGTTTCCACACAATTTGCGGCAATGGCATAATTCGAAACTGTTATTGCTGCATTGGAAAAACCGAATACTGTACACCGGACAAAGAAAAATGTTTGCATAACTGCACCATAATGAACCCGACTCCGAAGACAAACGGATCAAGCAAAGGATTAAGGCAACCAATTTCTTTATTTTTATTAATTACTCAATTTATGTATTTTGTGTTAGGATAATCTTTATATCTTTAGTTTTACCAAATTTGCTGTTTTTTTACTACACCACCTACAAAACTATAGCTGATTGTTTTGCTTGATATTCCATTAAATATTACTCCCTCTATTTCACTTTACTTTATGTTTAAATTTTTTGCATCCATATTGAGAAATCACAAGTATTTCATTTGATTTACTTCTTTTACATAAAAATATCATTAGCTACAACTAATTTACCCCAAAAAAAATATACTGTAAAATATCATTGGTCAAAAAATATTAAGTACATTTAATTGATGGTGGTTTGCGATATGTGTGTGAACACTTATGAAGGTGGTTTGCGATATGTCTTTTGTACTGGGTTTCCCCTGTAAGCCGTTAATGATGGCCTCTGGTTGCAGGTTTTTTTTCGGTTAATCCCCTAACTTTCTTGTTCAGTCTGTCTTGTAAATGTATGTATGGTCTCATGCTTTGATGCAATTGCACTTAATGCGGCATAGTGTGTTTAGAATCATAATGGGACGGAGACATTTATCATGAACAATCTTATTCTAGTGTTGAATGCGTTCTTACATATAAATTCGTTAATATCTTTCTGTTTGACTACTATTCAGATGATTCTCAGTCGGCGGGTAAACTGTAAAGGCTGGCGAAGATGGTATTACATCTTTGTTTAACACGTTTTGATGAACCACATTTTCTTGGTCAAAACATAACCTAGTTTAGTAACTAGGTCACATTAAGACCAAAAGCAACATAGCCCATTTATAGTAATGTCTTTTCTCTTCATTTTCATTTAAAAAAACTATCTACTCTCTTCATACTCGCTTCTCTTCACTCTTCGGTTGAAGCTGGACTGCCAATTGAAGAAGGTACAAAGCAGACTGTCAGCAAAGTCCAGAGATCATTTTTATTATCCGCCAGTATGGCGAGGCGTCAGGACAACAAATTAACTTTGCTAAATCCTCCATCATGTTTGGAAGTAAGGTCCAGCCCCAAATGAAAGCAGATATCAAGAGGAAGCCAAGTGCAAAGAAGGTACAAGCGCATTTATAGTTTAATGTATCTAATTCATATGAGGTTTTAGATGTTCAATAGGGGTTGTAGTGGTGATGGAAATGTGTAGCTTAGGAGAAACTGGTGAAGTTTAGAAAGGTTACTCTTAACTAGGATTTTGTTCTTGTTACTCTCAAAGTAACCATTTAATTTTTGAATAGGTTATTATGATCTCTTGTGAGTGGAGGAGCGTTGTATCTAATGGCTGTTTGTTATTTTTGTTCTTTTTCATAGTTGACGCACTAAGAGTCATTGGGAGGACATTGAAAAAGACTAGTTGGGATTTTGGATTCGATCCATGCGACATGGCATCCACTGGAGGTAGATGGAGAAACTCGGATGCTGTGAAAGGTTCTGAAGACTCTATCACTTGTGACGGCTCCTACCATGTGCCATGTTACGAGCATGTAATTACTGCATTCTCTTGGCTTAAGTCTTATTTGTTTCTTCTCATTTGGTAGTTTTGATTTTTCTCAAATTTGTTTATTTTTGTAAAAACACAGAATTAGAATTTATTGGTATTTTATTTTCACTAGATGAATTTAGCCACACGTACTTGTTACATTTTTATTATAAAAAAAAATTGAAATGAAAACAAAAAAATGATGTTTTTAATATTATCACACAAATTCTTATATGTTTACAGTGGACACATTTTTAACATTACTTATTACGACTCAAAATGTTTTAAATTATTTGTATATCATAATAAAAAAAAGGGTTTTGTGCAAAAAAACCCTCGAAGTAGCCAATTTTTGCAAGAAAACCCTCCATTTCAAATAACTGCAAGTCAATACCACCATCTCAAAAGTCACCCGCAATATAGCCCTCGCGTGTATCGATGACGTGGCAGCCGTTAACTCCGTTCCAAAACGTCACGACAAGTGAACTTTTGTGCAAAAAAACCCTCAAAATAGTCAAGTTTTGCAAGAAAACCCTCAAAGTAGCCAAATTTTGTGCAAAAAAACCCTCAAAGTAGCCAAGGTTTGTTTTAAAAAAGCGACTGTTGGAGAATTCGATTGTACAGGGAAGCAAAGGAAACAATATGGTAATAATCGATTTTGATATCTTCTTAAATGTATGATCATTGGCATGATCAAAGTAAGACATGGTGGAGCCATTTATACGAGAAGGAAAAATCTAGGGTTTAACAGAAGAATTCTGTAAAATTTACATAAGTTTTCTGTAAAACCAGAAAATCTTCTGTAAAAGCCCAAATTCGTCGCAAAAGAGACAAAATATTTTGTAAGGCTCAGAGCCTCGAAAAACGTGCAAGCCACGAAATCAACTTCTGTAAGACTCAGAGCTTCGAAAAACGTGCAAGCCACGAAATCAACTTCTATAAGACTCAGAGCCTCGAAAAACGTGCCCGGCACGGAATCACCTTCTGTAAGGCTCAGAGCCTCGACAAAACATATATTACTTCTCTAAAAATCATAGCTAACTCTTGCGTATATTTCGTATTCTCGTTCACTCGAATTCCATCTCTGTAATCATAGAAGCACGATTATCGTTAATCAGAGAAATATCTCCGTTCGCTCCCAAAAACTCGTACTTATTTATTATTGCAACTTCGGTACGAACAATAGGGTGGATAGATTTACATACAACAATTTTTATTTTTGGGTATTATAGGTAAACCCGAACCCGTACCCAAATTTTAAAATACCCGAAAGGTTTTTTTTGCAAAAATTGGTTTAATGAAGGGTTTTTTTGCAATTTGGCTACTTCGAGGGTTTTTTGGCACAAAACCCACTGACGGAGTTAACGGCTGCCACGTCATCGATACACGCGAGGGCTATATTGCGGGTGACTTTTGAGATGGCGTTATTGACTTGAATTTATTTGAGATGGAGGGTTTTCTTGCAAAAATTGGCTACTTCGAGGGTTATTTTGCACAAAACCCTAAAAAAAAACATAGATCAAGAATATTGTATTTTCTAGATAGATCTAACACCTTCTTATATTTTCTAAATTCTAATATATTCAATTTCAAGAAAATTTAATTTATTTAGATATCGTACATTTTTATTAAAGATTTTAATTTAAAAATTGTTTATATATCGAATAATGCTTTTGTTTAAATAAGTATATAAAGAGATAATCATACACCAATAGTGGAAAAGGAAGATTGATCATTTCAATTAGATTCACTTGTTGTGTGAATATTAAAATAGTTAGCTATTGAACTTCCATAGATTAATCGGCAAAACAGATAAATATTATACTAAGAATTTTAAAAACTAAAAATGAAAGAAATACATTCTTGTAATGTGATAGAAACATAATAAAAAGCGAATACAATACAAACTACATATCATATAATCTCTAAAAATAAATTTTACAATCAAACTCTAACCATCACTATGGCACAATTGTTTTATAACTCATGCAAGAACATAAAAATAAAGTAAATTTACAGATTTGAAAATATGGTGGAAGATGATAAGAGAATGAATATTTATAGATGGGAAGTGGTGAAACTCTTATAATTATTGAGTAAAAGTTACATATTCTTATTGATTGGTAGGAGTTACAATTGAGTTTAAATTATAGTCAATACAATTTTCAAATAGTTAATGTATATTAGTGGAGGAGTTACAAATGAATTTAAATGTGGAGTTACACATGAGTTTTAAATTAAATTAATTAGAGATGAATATATTATAGGTTTTTAAAAAAATATATCAAAAAAATGCCAAGTGGCCCAATAAAGGGAGAGTGAAACCTTACTTTTATATGTACGATTTTCTTGAACCTGTGGCAGATTTCTCAAGACACAGGATCTTCAAGGTTCTCTTCCTAAGGAGTTGGTTGGGCTTCATTTCCTGCAAGAACTATAAGCGAAACACAACTATTTCTATAATTACTCTTCTTTGCATCTTAGTCAAATTAGTTTACCTTCTACTCTTCATTTGTAGTAACCTTGCAAGAAATTATCTAACGGGTTCAATACCTCCAGAATGGGGAGCCTTGCCTCTTGTCATAATGTGAGAATATAATCTAATGCATACTACAAATTTATATATTCTGCTTGATGTTATTTCTTGAAATGCAGCACACTTTCGGGGAATGGGTTAACTGGTACAATCCCCAAAGAGATTGGAAACATTACTTCTCTCGAAAGACTGTGAGTATAACTCTTTTGAAATCTTGTTTAATTGATGTTTGGTATTAGTTGTTCAGTTTTTGGAACTTTTGTTCTAATATGTTAAGTGGTTGAGAATTGGTTGTGAATAGATGAGAACTGATGGACACTTAGTTTGTGCTATAAATTATTGATGGTTTTTTTTCATTGATTTGCGGTTTCCAATGCATGTGATGAGTGATGACAACCTTAACTTGCAGATTTGTATCATAAGAAGAACATGAGAGAATTTTGAAATTTTCATTAATTCAACCATGAAACTGAAACATTGTTTTAGGCTTGACTTTTGTTAATAACTTGATTTCCGTTTACAAAAAAAAAAAAAAAAAAAAAACTTGATTTCCCTGCCTCTTCCTTGTTGAAATGAAGTGTTCGTAATATAGTTTTCAGAATATATAATGAGTTTCTTGCAATTGAACAAGGAAACCGGCACTGCTTCAATTTGCGTAGTCAGTAAGTCAGCAAGTACCGGTCCCTTAAAATCTAATATAACGTTTTAGTCCTTTTTCGTTTGTAATTTCTAAATACAATTTGCTCTAAAAAGTGAGAAAATAGTTGTGGATGTGTTTACTTATTACTACCCTAAGGCCTTTCTTCATGGAGAAAATGACCAACACCTTTAATTACCACCACTTCGTCCAACAAAGACACATGGCTCTTAAACCGGCCATCTTGGTGCCTGGAATGTGATAGTGACCAGGAAAAAATAGAGTATGGCGAGAAAACGAAGAAGAAAGTGACTGTTATTCACAAGTAAGCAGAAGAGAAGAGACCGATTATTGGAGCGCAACGAAGAGAAAGAGCTTCTTAAATTGGCCAAGTATAGAGCCATTGGTAGTGTACCAAATGCAATTTTTTGGATGTTTTTATGTAAGTGTTTATTTGAATTTGTTTCTCTGGTTAGTGTGAGAACTCATTCATGTTTATGAGGATTTCGTCTAAAAATATGCTATAAAGTGAGGCTTGTTTAATCAAGTATATGCCCTAATTCTAAATGTTGACTCCTGATACACACATAAGCAAGAGAATGTAATAAAAATGTCTTATGTTGGATCTTACATGCTAGTATAATATATTCTTCCAAGTCTCGAAGTCTAGAAACAGAAGAGACCAAGAGAAGGAAACTTGATGGTTTGTAATGTATCAGAACTGATAAACCATGTAATGCTTAATAGGCTAAAACATGCAAGAAAACGATTTCTTTAATAGATGATAAATAGAAGCAAACTTAATAAATGACTAGCAAGTCTTGTTCAATATGACATGAAAATAAAAAGGAAGGAAAAATCTAATCAAATGAGGCAATTAAGCATCTCTTACTTTCCTTTTGCGCGGTTAGTTGATTTGCACTAGACTTGGAAGGTAAGAAGAGGACACAAGTGGGGGAGAAAACTTAGGCCTGTTAGGGAACTCTCCAGGCATCCAGACATTTGGATTTTCTCCGATTTTCATAGATTTGAAGTATCCATCTTCTCCAATGATGTAAACTGTTTGGATGAGAATGGTCTTGGTCGGGTTATATACTTCTTGATCGAAAACCAAAACAACTTTCTTCTCCTCATCAATGGCGAAGCTCACAGCTTCTTGATTGAACTGAAAACCAGTGAGTGGTCTCATTTCCACCATCAAAAACTTGCTCCACGACACTGCGTTGGGATCAATCTTATCCGTAACCCAAATCTCCAACTTATACATATCAAATGACTCCTTCTGATAAAGCACCGCGAGCTGCTCTTCCCTAACACCAGATAGAGTCACAGTCTCTTTACCATGAATATGAAACGGGAGATGCAGACGCTGTCCAAAGCTCTCTCTTGTAAAATCAAAACAGAGTAAAAAATGTTTAAGCTCTGATACATTAACAAGAACCTCTATCATTTTCTCTCTAGCAAAGAAGTAAGTATTTCCCTTCAATGTCACACTGCGATGATGAAGCTTGCCGGGAGTGATATGGTCAAGAACCCTCCAAGAACTAGACCTAACATGGTAGATTTCGAACTCATTGCCTCCGCGAAAATCATCAAAAAACCTCAAGATTTTATGGTTACGGTTGGTGTCGTATCCGAGAGCATAATGATCGGGTCTATAGAAATATTTTCTTGGTTCAATCCACCTAGTTTGTCCCAAATAAGGGTTCCACAATAGGAGCCTTGAGTTGTCCTTAGTGACACATAACAGTAAGCCATCACAGTGAATGACTTTAGATATCTCAACTTGATTAAATAAAGCTACTTGGTTTATAGATAGATCGACGAACTCGCTCTCGTCCTTGCGGGTTCCTTGGAAATCAAGTTTTACTGAACAAACCTTAGAACTCATCGTCATGAACCCTACAAACTGCTGCTGCCTTGTTGCTGCTGCTTTACCCAAATTACATTTTTTGGTTAAAGCATTCCATGATTTGCAAGTAGATCGCACTGCTCTCAGAGATGTTATCGGAATCCTAGTGAGTATTTCGACTACCAAATCCGGTGGAAGATCGCTCATACTCGTCATTCTTCCAAGTTTCAACAAACGCTGCAATACAAATAATCAAAACAATGAGAACAAAATTGAATCGATGAATCTGCAATCGATGATACAAAAGTGAAGATTAAAATAACATGTTACTAAACCCTTGTTTCGGTTCAAATGTAACATTTTCTCGACTCAAAGTGACTCAAAATACTCACAATGAAATTGTTCAGAAAATTCCTAGTTGAATAACGAGAAACTCAAAGGTCATCAATATATAAAATAATGACACAAATCTATACATATGTTAATACTTTAATGTAGTTGAATTATATATTTAATTTTTAATTATAAAATAAGAAATAAACAATAAACAAATGTAAATGAGAATCTTTCTCTTCTTCTCTTCTTATTTTTTTCCTTATTTTGATAAAAAAAAAAAAAAGTATCTTGGATACCCCAATTGAGATGTCTTTAGATACTTCTCCCTCCATTTAGAGTGTCCACATCAACATCCATGTCATCATATTTTATATATTTTGTTTTTAACTCTACATATCTTATTTATTAAAAAATATATATTAAAGTAAATGAACTCTTAAATTTTATACTATTATCTTTCAATAAAGGAAAACATTTAAAAAGAAAATAACTTAAGTTAAATATTAAAGAACGAAATAAATAATACAACACAAAAATATGACAAAGATTAATAGAAGTTGGATAAATATAAAATTAGATAATTTATCTTAACATACAATGTGTAAATATTTTAAAAGGATTAGATTTAGTAAAAAGAAACATATCATATATTTAATGGTACAATCAGTTATAATCATTTAGTAAGATAACAAATAAGATTTTTTGAAATAATAAATACCAAATTTAAAAGGTTTTTACTCAAAATAAATGTTGAAATACACATTTCAAATTTGAGAATCAATACAATAATAACAATAAGGATCTCTCCAGGCTTGACACCTCAGCATTTTGGGTTGTTCTCATGTTGACACCTCATTAAAATCTTTTTGGATTAATACACATCAGATTTTTTGGCCAATAATCATCCTTCATGCTTTTCTTAATATTGTCTCATTTGTTCTTGGGCTCTAACATATGGGCTTAATGTTTTAGAATAGGGTTGTTGGACTTCAATTTAGGGCTTAATTGGTTCTCCCGCCTAGCGGTTGCTTGCGATTCGTACTAATCATAGAAACTGTTCCATACCGCTTCGAACCGCTCAAAATCGCTGGATTTTAAAAACTTCTTCCCGCAAGCGTTTGCGGTTGGTTTAAAAAAAGGAAAGAAACTAAAAAAGAAAAATGAACAGTATTAAATATATATTATCAAGTCTTATATATATTCACGTTAATTCTAAAAAAATAATAATTATCTAACTTTAATTTTCCAATATTAATAATTATTTTTGTTTTCATATAAAATTAATTTGAATAATTATTTATGGTTTTTAATCATTAATCATGTTTAAAATTTTTATATTTTTTCATAATTATAGTTTTTGGTGTTTTTATACTTTTTTATAATCATATACTAAATTTATTTTGGTAAATTTTGGTTTAACCGCTATTATACCCGCTGATCAACCAGTCGTAAATCTCCCGCAAACGTATCCGTTTTTAATCGCTAAACCAGTCGGTCAAAACGCTAAATAATGCTTGAAACCGCAACCGCCCGCTTCCGCAAACTCCCACAACCGCAACTGCAACCGCTGCGTTTAAACCAGTCATGCCCTTACTTGTAATGTTTATCCTTTGGATAAAATTGGATACAAATCGAATTGGATAAGAACTATCGCAATAAAATATTATAAGATTTATTAATTAAGCGTTATCATGGATCTTAACGAATAACTAAAAATCATTTGAGTAACGTTCTATACTCCTATAATAAAACAAAATTTCAATTTTAAAATTATGAAAAACAAACAAACAAACCTCTTAGCTTTTTACGCCTCTTCAACATATGAATCAAGTATGCATATGGAACATTAAAATCAAAGATGATCATTCCATATAACATATTTTCAAATATCTAAGTCATGAGTTCTATACAGCTATGGTATGTCCATATACATATAAGTCCGATCGAACCAAATATCATAACTTTTGTCAAAAATAAAAGCTCAACGATTTCATCGACGATACATTCAAATCGGAGAAAACAAAAACAGAAATTTGAGAAAAAAAAAGGAAAGAAAGATATTTACTTGTGGGCACTGAATTCAGATTCCAATTACATCAATCACTGAGAAAAAGACGTACAAGATTTAAAATTCGATTGCGGAACACCGCCATAGCTCCGCCGCACTCTGGCGATAGAAACTCTTTTAGACACACAGTGAAGCAATCGTCTCTTATTGACTGCCATTAGTGAAAGTCTTTCAGATATGAAAACAAAGGTCTTCTTTTTTTTTCCTCTCCGTTTAACTGTTTATCTAATCTATCTCTCTCCTTTGTTCATCTGTTTTTTCCAGAAAAAATGATCGTTTTATGACTTTTTCGGGATACAAATTTTATCTGAATAATATAATTGATTTACGGTTTGACATTCAAATTTGATTTGGTTCTTTTTTTGCCTTCAAATTATTTAAATATTAAATATTTAATTAAAATCATTTCTCAAATTTTAAATTTCTTCAATATTTTAAAAAAATCATTTAAAAATATCCCGCGGCGGAGCGCGGGTTTCGACCTAGTATATTTGTTAATGTTAATATCAAAGTATCAATTCATGATACACATAGAAAAATAAGAAGGATTCAATACATATTATTATTTTAAACTATAATATAATTAAATAATTAAATTTATTTATTTATTTTTATATGATTTAACGTTTTTAAATTGAACGATGGTGAGTTATTGAAACAAATGAATAGCAAAAAAAAAAAGGAAAAACTAAATATTAATCAGTTTTTAGGAAATTAACATATGTAGATTGAAAAAAATTAAGGTGATTTGAAATCAAACAAAAAGCTATCCTAAATATCACAAATAAAAAATAAAACTAGGTAGTTTACCAGAACATATATTATTATTAAGTAAATACATTGTAGTTTTAGTTACAAAATATATTGTATTATTATCCAAAATCTGAAATTTGTATGTATTACGAAACATGTAAAATAAGTGAAAACAATATGTTATTTTCTAACTGAAAATAACAAATATAATAATCATATACATTTTGTGAAGAGTTTATGAAGCTATACGCATTCGATTATTTGGATAAAAATGCAAAGCCATATATGTATAAACTCTATATGCTTCATATAAAATAATGTGAAAGCATAGGTATGATACCTTAAATATATATGTATCTATTAATATAACAAGATATATATCATAAATTATGATAAACATAAACATACTTTGAGTTTTACAAAAAGAAAAAAATAATATTTATGTCGATGTAAAGATGAGATGTAAACTTAAAAGTATTTATGTCGACAATTAGAGATGTCTGTATTTTTTTTTTGACATCTTTGGATCGACAAGCCCCGATCCATAACCAATCCCTACTACGCGCGGGGTAGCGCGACTTAGTGGAATCGAACTCCGGTGGAGAAGGCGGAGTCAAATAGATTTAACCATTTAACTAAAAGCACATCTTCTATCGATGCTTGTATTTGTTCAGCCCATTAACAATTTATCAATATATAATACTATTTAATGTATTAATAGATTAATATCAATATTATTTTATGTATTTAATATCTTAACACTGGGAGCTGCCAACCTCCGTAGAAGCCTATCTCCGCTACATGCCGAATTCGAGGCCCTCCTTTGGGCGATGAAGTGTATGATTGGTGCAGATAATCAAGAGGTAGCATTCCTTACAGACTGTTCTGACCTGGTGAAGATGGTGTCTTCCCCAACCGAATGGCCGGCCTTCTCAGTGTATCTGGAGGAATTTCAGAGCGACAAGGAAGAGTTCTCTACCTTCTCTTTATCTTTAATTTCTCGTTGTGCAAATGCAAAAGCGGATAATCTGGCACGAAAAATTCGTACGGAACCGCTTCATATCACTTATGTAAACAACATTCCACAAGAATGGCTCTTTTGAGTAATATTTAATTACAGATGACAAAAAAAAAAAAAAAATCTTAACACGTTACAAGTATGTGTAGTGTGTTATAATTTTTGTTATCGTTATCATTATATGTAGTATGTTTATAATATTTTTATCATGTAATTAATTATGATTTTTAAAAATATTAATTCACAATTCTAAACTAATATATTGTATATGATATGCTAACCCGTTTAACACGATAACTATGAATGTAACACATGTTATATGAACTTATCACGATAATATACCATTTAACAGGTAAATAAAATAGTTATCCACAGATGATCAGTGTTGTAATGTAATTGATGACAATTATCCGGTGATGAACAGTATGTCGATGTTGGAATGAACAGTGTCGTGGATATACAGAAGTTGGAAAACAATTTTTTAATCAATGACATTTTCGTTATTAATCAAAAGTAGAGAGTTTTGGTTTGTTTTTTTCTTTCTCTTTCATAGTTACTTAATTTTAAAATTATCATGGTTAAAAATCTAATTTTTTGATCATCTGAGAATATATATTAAACTAGCTCAAAAAAAAAAACATTTCCTCTAGTAGTCTTTTTTTTTTTGTCATCATTAATTAACCAAAAAGAGTACAAGAGCAATAGCTCAATAACAGAGAAAAAAACAGCGAAAGCTCAAAAGAACACAACATTGCCTTAATTCATACAGTAATTGAGTACATAAGTGTTTTTTCCTCTCAATGGTAGGACTTACTTTATCTATATATCATCAATGCATCATACACAAAAAAAGAAGAGACAAACATTGAGGTCGAAGAATTCGCTCATATTTTTTTTAGCCTAAGTGGAATATGCATAGTTGAGAAACTACTAGCAAAAGAACAGGATGTGAAGTAGTACTTATAATGTGACTGGAGGAGCCGATGATGTATTGGAGAATTGAACGCATCCAAACCAAAAATCGAGCAGATGATTGGAGAACTGAATCGAGATGATAGGAGAGCCAATGATGTTTGGATTCATTTAGCTACCGTCATATGATGTAGTTTATGTTTTATCTAAGAGGTTTCTTTTAAAAAGGTGACGACGAGGGGGGTCTCAAATTGCAACGATAGCTTACTACGCAATTGTTATTGCTGCATTGGCAAAATCAAAACCTGTTCAACGGACTAAGGACGATGTTGGCATAAATGTGCGATGCTTAACCCACAACACCTTCCTCACGATTTTATATTTGTGATATGGTGTAGCTTTTTACTTGCTTTGTCCTTTTCCATGATAATTCACAAGGGAGAAATATAACGATTTAGTCCTCTCATTTGTAATTTCTAAAGACAATGGATCTAAAAAGTGAGAAAATAGTCGTGGATGTGTTTACTTATCTCATCAGGCCTTTCCTCGTGGAGAAAATGACCAACGCCTTTAATTACCACAACTTCGTCTAACAACGGGACGTGGCTCTTAAACCGGCCATCTTGGATGTACTTCTTGGTGCCGGGAATGTGATAGGTCAAATCTTGGTCGCCGATTATGAACTTAACCGGAACTTTCACTTGAGCTTTTGATAGTGACCCCATCAGCTCCCATGTTCTGTAAAGAGCAAAGAAAAAAATGTGACACCAACATAGAAATCTTGATCCGAGTTTTATGTCAGAAATTATGATTACACGGATCCAAAATCTAAATCAAAGTGCAGAGTCACCAACTTATATAAACAAACAATTACAGAGAGGCCACTCGATGACGATGGCCTTTATAAGAAACGTTGACAATAACAATAACCCTTCTGATCAAAAAGGGTTCCTTATTCATAAAGACTAAAGGACTCCACTTAAAGAGGCAGGGCTAATGAATTAAGAACAACACTAGCTCAATTATTGCTCATGATATATACATGCAAGTGCATCTGTGTCCTGAATGAATTCAAGCAAGTTTTACAAGGCTTACGATAAACAAGCGATACGAGAGTAGCAGAGTATATACCTGTCCATATTTCGGTAGTAGTTAACTGGTCCAGTGAAGCCATTCTTCTCGTACTTGGACACATAATATTTGACATCACAATCAGTTAGCCAAGAGGGAAGTGAAACAGAATCATCATAGCGTTTTCCTTTAGGTAAGAGAATAGGGCCAGGATTACGATATGTTAAGAACTCTAAGAGACATCGTTCCGTGCCAACTTTAGCGAATTCCGCCTCTATTTCCCCATGTTCCTACAATATTCAAACCCATTCTTCCAGTTAGAGATAGCTCAGCAACGAAAAAAACACAAAACATCTTGCCATATTCTCTAGACTACACACATGAATCTTGATAAAAACTTCTAATACCTAACAAAGTAGCAAAAAGTTCTTCTATGTCAAAAATCTGATCACAACTCTATAACAAAAGAGTGATTAACACCAAATTCCAAACACATTTCAAATGTTGAAACAAAGATTCATTAGAATCAAATTCAAGATTCATGAACCTGAAATCTGCAGATGTAGTAATCATCTCCATAGAAAGATTTAAACAACGAGATTGGTTTCCTCTTAGGATTCCAAGGATCAAACACCACACTCATGTTAACCAGAGCTTTAACCCTATCAGGTCGAAGAAGACACAGATGCCAAGCGATTATTGCTCCCCAATCATGTCCCACCACGAACACCTTCTCGCGATCTCCAACCACGGCGTCGATCAATCCAATCAGATCTCCAACAACGTGGAGACTTGTGTACGCGTCGACGCTCTCCGGCGCGTCGGTGTCGCCGTAACCGCGTAGGTCCGGTGCTATAGTCCGGTAACCTAATGAAGATAGTGCCACCATCTGATGCCGCCACGTGTACCAAAGTTCTGGAAATCCGTGGAGGAATAGTATCACCGGAGGACGTATAGCTCCGTCGAAAGCACCGTTCCCGGCGACGGAGGGGTATTTCTCGGCGACGTGCATGTTGATTCCATTAACCTTCACAAAGCTATGATCAAATGTAAGATCCATTCGCAGTGAAGAAGAAGAAGAAGAAGAAATGATTGAAATCGAAAATTTGGGGGAAAATTCTTAATTTCATATGAACCGGTCCGAGCAAAATTGATTAAGATTAAATCCGGTTTGATACGATTTTCCGGGTTTTATCCGGTATTTATCGAACAAAACATTTATGCTAACCGGTATGAATTAAAAAATTCAATGAACAAGATCATACATGTAATTGTAAAACACACGAATGTTATTTTTGTTTTATTTGAATCGTTTGAAAACCGGTTTATTGGTTCGATACTTGGTTTATGATTTTAAAGGAACTTGTGAAAGAAGCTGTGAATGTGTTGATTGATCACATCAGGGTTTTCTTCGTGTAGGAAATGTCCCAATGCCTTGATCACGACGGTTTCGTCGAGCAACGGTACATCTCTATTGAAACCGCCACCGTTAATGTATTCCTTAGCTCCCGGTGAATTATACGTTAAATCTTGATCTCCGACTATAAATTTCACCGGTACATGGATCTTAGCACCGGTCCACGGTGCAGTCAGTTCCCAATTTCTGCGAACCGAATTTGGACCGATTGGTTAAAAATTGGAAATTATGTGACTACACTATTGAACCGTGTGGTGATAAACGTACCGGTCAATGTTGCGGTAGTAGTTAATGGGTCCGGTGAAGCCTTTCTTGTCGTACTTAGTTACATAATAATCGAGGTCTTCTTGTGTTAACCACGGTGGTAACGCAAACGCGGCGTTTTCTGCGCGTTTGAAATATTTGTCTTTGGGGAGATAGAGCGGTCCAGGCGTTTTGTAGGTGAGGAACTCTTTCAACACATTCTCTGTTCCAATGTTCTTGAACTCTGCCTCTATCTCTCCAGGTTTCTTAATCACAAAATAATCACTCATAAGTTAAAAAAAAATATGTATTTATAATTATATAACAAAGCAATCAAATTCACCTGTCATTCAACTATATAATATTTCTTTAATTTCTTACTTTAAAATACATTCAATTCAAATTTTGTATGAGCTAATAGTATAAGAGAAAACAAAATCATACAATGGAAAATTTTAAATTTAGTTAGTGGACGTTTCGGTGTTTTGATTTTGGTTTTATCATACGTACTCTACGTACTCATCACAAAAAGGACCCGGTTTTACTATGCTTTGGTTTAATTCCGGTTCGATACTTAGAGCAATCTAACAACAGTACAACGCTAATACAAAACTTAATTTTGGCAACCGTTAGCAAGATCATGTTTATTCGTTTTCTCCTCTTATATTATTCCATTAATCTTTCTTTCCATCGAACTAACCAAGCTTATTTATTTTGGTTTGGTTTAATTTCGTTTGGTGTGAGTTGGTTTGATACGGTCCCTCAATTTTAAAGAGAGTGATTAGGGCAACAAATTAATACCTGAAATCTGCAGATGTAATAATCATTATTGAAGACATGTCTCAGTGTCGGAACCGGAACTCGATCAGGGTTCCTCGGAGAAAAGAGTACGCTCATGTTAACCAAAGCCTTGACTTTCTCTGGTCGGTACAGACACAACTGCCACGCAATCATCGCTCCCCAGTCATGACCAACCACGAAAACCGCCTTATCTCCGCCGGTCACGGCGTCGATTAGTGCCACCATGTCTCCTACCACGTTTAAGTAAGTGTAGTCTTCAACTCTCTCCGGCGTTTCTGTGTCTCCGTACCCTCTAAGATCCGGCGCGATCGTACGGTATCCCAAGGAAGAAAGCGCGGTCATCTGGTGTCGCCACGTGTACCAAAGCTCCGGGAATCCGTGGATAAAGAGTATGATCGGATCTTCTCCTGATCCGGATCCAGGTTTCTCCGCCACGTGCATGTTTATGCCATTTACCTTTAGGGTTTTGTGTTCTACGCCGTCGAGTCTCGACATCTTCTCTTGTCGGTTTGTTTGATTCTCGTGTAATGTGGAGAGATCGACCGTCGGATCTGTTTTTCTCCCGAGAAAACGACGGAATCTGAGAGGAAGATGATTTTGGAATCGTGAAAGTGAGAGATATCTACACAAGAACATGTGTGGTTTGAGGTGTTTGGCTGTGAGACGACGTCGTGGGGATAAATCTCAGGTCGTACGTTTAAAGATAGAGAACAAATGGTCCAATCTGTGTATGTATAAAGCAAATCACAAGGAATAAAAAAAGGAGAAAGTAATCAACAAATTATTGTGTACATCAAATTAAGAAATGCATTTTGTAAAACGATTGTCAATTATTCGACCAGTTTATGTGTATGTTTTGGAATCTTGAAATTAATTGCTGGAAAGTATTTCTGATTATTTTTTTGGAAAGAAACCCCAAATTCTTATAAGGACAAGGAGGATTCGTATCTAAATACATAGGGGTATATTATTTTGGTAGCTTGATGGTTACTTTTGGTATCAACTTTTTAGTCATTCGTCACTTTTCTTCGAATGCTAGCTAACCAGCATTTGCCTGTCCACCTGTAAAATCAATGCGTAAATATATTCTTTTTTCTTTCTTTACAAAAACTATTGAAACACGGACCGAGCAAACTAAGTGATTTTATTTTGTATATTGTATCACTTAAATTATATTGTATATTGTATATTGTATACGTGAGAGTGAGTAAATTGTGTCGAAAACTTTTAATATCGGTCCATCAAACAAGTTGTAGTATACATATATAGGTTTGGCGAAGTCAAGGAAATCAATTTATAGTTAATTAAATTTAAACCCGCGTATAAATAATAAACTAGAATTTAACCCGCGGTATACCTCGGGGCTATATTTTTTTTAAAAATGTAATTTATAAAGATTAACTGAATATATATCATATTAATTAATTTGTATTTTTAAATGTAGATATCTATCTATCAATTTTTTTAAGTATAGATACGAAAACATACATTTTTTTTAAGTAACGATGTATGGTGGATTTTAAAATTTTGAATATTTTACTCTGCAGTATACCGTGGGTCGTTTTTTTATAACTAAAAATTTTAAATTTAAGTTGGATTTGTTTTGATAATATTGTTTCTATTGTTTTGTGTTTAAGATTGTATAATTGTATTTTGATTGTTAGTTTTATGATTTCATCCGTGATATACAATTATTTATTAATATCGACCCAAACCCGTCATCCCATATAAACCCGTCTATATTATCTCGTTAGCTAAATTATTAGTGTTATAAAATCCAAGAAAATAAATTATTATTGTTATAAAATCTAATAATTTTAGGATCTCACCCGTGGTATACCGTTCTTTGAACGATTTTAAATTTATACTACTAATATATATTTTAAATTTATCATATAAAGTATATGATTTCAAGTTTTTGTGTGTGTTTTTTTAAATAAAGAAACGGCTTAAATGATACTATATATAGTTCTTTTTCCTGTATGTGTATATGATTTTTCTATGTGAATATTTTGATTATTATAAATTAGTATTTTATTGCTATGCAAAATGTTAATTTAAATATTTGCTAAAAAAGTTTTTTGAAGATATATGGAAAGATTGTGTAGAGATTTTTAGAAACAAAGTAGGTAAAATATTGTTTAGTTAATATCTTTTATTTAAATTTTGTAAAAGTAATAATAAATACCAATGACATTCTTTGTAAATACTTTCTAACTCCAGGATTTATTTACTAAAAGTGTTCCAAAAATGTATATATAGATGTGTTACGAGTGTTTATATAACAAACATGTGTTACATGTACATTATTGTTAATAATATAAACACATGTTTTGTTTAGTTAAGAATTTACATTTGTTTGTAAGATTTTCTTTAATGAATAGATGGGATATAAGTGTTACCCATCATTGTTTCATAAAAAGCACATCCTAAATAGAGTTACAAAACCCACTAAAAAACAAACGTGAACCAAGCAAATTGAGTTGATCGAAGAGTCCAAAGCCCAAGTGGTGGAGCCATGCATCCAAAGATTTGGGGTCGAAATCTATAATTTCATAAATATTACACGGAAAAATATATAATCCCAAAATAAGATATAAAGCTCAAAATATATATTTAACCGTTAGAAGTTAGAACTGATCTTTAAGACACATAAACAAACCGTGAGTCAACTCATTCGGTTGCTCATCACCTCAAGCTCTAATGACAACATTCTGAGTTTCTGACTTAAGGTATAGAAGGGAAAGGTTTTTTGGAAGAGTCCACATAATGTTCCAAGTGACATGCATTAATTGACCATCTCTTATGTAGTACAAGTTTGATAATCTCCAGTTGGATATCATGACTAATCTCCAAAAAAAACAATTATTACAATTTCAAATTTGAAGATTATATTAAAAAAACGAAAAAAAATTGACATTAAAAATTAAATACCAATTGGATTTGTTAACTGACTAATAATATATTTGTCTTAAAAAATCTTTAAAATGACTAATAATAGCTACAATATTTAACATAATATCTAAATAATATAAATTACCAAAGTTTTTCTTTCATTTTTGACCACCTATATTCCATTAATAATTAATCTTTATTATGGTTTAATTTCTTAACCACATACTATTTTATTTTATTCTATTTATTAGCACAGATTTATTTCCTTCCACAGGCTTTCTCAAAAATTAAACACTTGTTCATTTTCCCCATATTACCTTTCTTACACAATTATGAGTATCTTTTCTTTCTTCTTTTTGGTTTTATTAATCTAGTATTCTGCATACACATTTATACATATAAGTATACTGACTTTCAGATTCAACTCATGATCCATTCGAAACGACTAGCGTCAAAGGATTTAAACATTTGTTTCCCTGTTTTCCCCATAGTATTTTCCTGTATATGTATACCTATAAGTATATCGACCTGAGATTCAGTTCATGAGCCATTCAAAACGACCACGACTAGCGTCAAAGGCTGTGAGGAAGATGACGCAACTTTTGCGCCGAAGGGATCTAGTCATGGTCGGTGTTTGCTTGGTCTTTGCCGGATTTTTGAGTTTAGTGATCTACCAAATTGGTGTTTATCCACTACAACTATTTTTCCACTTCTCAGATGATGTCGTTAGTATTCTATTCATCTTATCATCTATGCAATGTATATGTATGTCTTTTTTTTGTTTTCTTCTTTTTTTTAACAACTAATGTATGTGTGTGTTTATATTTCGTTTTATTATCTTTCGTTTTTTTTAACGTTTTTTTACAAATCCCCTTTTTCAACTTTTGCTTGTCTTTTTTAATCTCTTTTATGGAAATCTTAGAATTTAACGGAATCAAATTTTATTTTTCCGCTTATGATTCCAATTACTTTACATGTATTGATGTACATTTCATTTTGTATTTCTTATTATATATTTCCAAAAAATCAGTTTTATATGTTCAATTTTTATTATTATGAATGTTTTTTTTTGGCTAGTACTCTGCCTTTTACAAATATACGAGTAACTTAAAAAGGAACAAAACTACGTACGCAAAAAATAATCTGATATTTTGTTTTTAATTGTTGGACAGCATCATCAAGAAGATCTGAAAAAATTGGGGAAAATCCTGACGGAAGCAGCGACGGAGGATAAAACGGTGATAATAACCACCTTAAACCGGGCTTGGTCTGAGCCAAACTCGACGTTTGATTTGTTTCTTGACAGTTTTCATGTTGGAAAAGAGACTAAGCCATTACTCCGACACCTTGTGGTGGCGTGTCTCGACGGGGAGGCATATTCTCGGTGCTTGGAGGTCCATCCCCGTCGTTGTTATTTCATGAAAACAGCTGGAATTGATTTCGCTGGCGATAAGATGTTCATGACGCCGGACTATCTCAAGATGATGTGGCGTCGTATAGAGTTTTTGGGTACTTTGTTAAAGCTGGGATATAACTTTATCTTCACGGTATCTATCTCTCACCCTATTTTTACGTCATCGTCATCGTTTACATGTTGTTGATTTTGGCTTGCCAACATTTGCATGTTGTTTATTAGTGTGACAGAACCAGAAGATATAGGCTTTGAATCGAATAATAAGGATTATAGACTTATAGTGTAACGACCTCATGGATAATATAAACTCATTGTTGTTTAGTAGTTGATGAATTCATATTATGGTTAGGGGAGTAGGGTTCAAGTCTTTGGGCCAATGATTTTAATATTGGTTTGTCATGACTGTTAACGTTAAATGGCAATAATACATGCATGCATCTTCTATAGGCCCTATAGGAATGAGTCCAAATTTGGTGCTAAGTTAGACGAATGAGTTGGTACAAGATGTCGAATTTGATGATTATATCATAATGTTTTATTAACATATTGTTAATGTGTGTAGGACATAGATATAATGTGGTTTCGAGATCCATTTCCTCGTCTATCTAAAGATGTCGATTTCCAAATCGCTTGTGACCGTTTTAATGGAGATGAGAACGATATCCACAACGCTGTCAATGGTGGTTTCACCTTTGTTAAAGCCAATCAACGAACCATAGATTTCTACAACTATTGGTACATGTCGAGGCTGCGATATCCGGATCGGCACGATCAAGACGTGCTCGATAATATCAAAGGTGGTTGGTACACTGCAAAAATTGGACTCAAAATGAAGTTTCTCGACACAAAGTACTTTGGAGGATTTTGTGAGCCAAGTCAGGACTTGGATAACGTTTGTACAATGCATGCCAATTGTTGTGTGGGATTAGAGAATAAAATTAAAGATTTGAGACAATTGCTTGTGGATTGGGAGAATTATTTGTCTTCGAAGACAACAGATGGTCAAATGATGACATGGCGAAACCCGGAGAATTGCATGAAGCAGTGGTGGTGGAAAAAGAAAAAAAAGAGCATTGGGTGAAAATATAAAAGCAAAATTATATAAATATAGAGTGCCTATTCTGTCATTTACAAAAAAATTTGCAATTATTTAACTATGAATAGTTTTTTCTTTTTGGTTGAAATGTTAAATTGATTAATCAACAAAAAGAAAAATATGTACACGAGATTGGTAGAGCTTGGTTTGGTTGATTAACCATAACCTTACAAAGAGAAAAACGTTTAACTTTGATATTGGATGAAAACAGAGCAAATTATACAAAATCCTAGCAAGTGGACGAGGTCACTGTTGGGAGCTGCGGAGAGAGGACCATCGGGACAAGAGGGTGCCGTACTTGCTGGGAGGCTGGTACTTGAGACTCTTGATTGTCATTTAATCAATAACATAAAGAAATTGTTTATTTAAAGAGAGTATAGTAGATAGCAACGAATTTATATATGATTTTTTTTTCCAATACAAATGTTAAATTATATATTTTTTAAAAAACATTTTTTACAGATTAATGCAAATTTTTCTTAAAACAACATCTAAAGAAAGACATTTTATTCTTAATTTTTTTTTGTCTTGAATCAAACCAAACTTGAGGACCGGTTTCGGTTTGCATACTTCAAGTAGGGGGGTGCATACTTCAAGTCTCCCTTACATTGAATTGTGCTTAACCGGTTTTGAATTTTATATATAATTTAAATAGAAGGTTTAGATGTCATTCTTGTAAGTAAGCGAATTTAGTCAGCAAGTAGAAGATATGACAATGTTTTAACATCGTTCGTTGAGTCAACTTGTTCGCTCTCGTTCAAATTATCAGTGATAAGAACCACGCACCCTTTTTATTTGATTTTTGTTTTGTTTGTAATTTAGCTTGATTTCTTCTTCTTCTAAAGTTGTTAATATAATACTCCCTCCGTTTTCGAATAGTTGTCGTTTTAGAGAATTTTTTTTGTTTTTAATTAGTTGTCGTTTTCAGTTTTCGATGCACAATTTATTACTTTTTTATTTTTTATATTTATTTTTATTATGCAACTTGATTTACTATTGGTTAAATTATGTTTAGATAGATAATTAATGATATTTTTATATTGAAAAATTAACAACATTAAAGTTTCTTAATTTGTGTGTATATAGTTAAAACGACAACTATTCGAAAACGGAGGGATCACAAAAATCAAAACATTCACATGAATTTTTAACTACTGATATCTTTAAATCATTAAATGAATAATTACTCAATAATTTGATAAAAATAAAAAATACAAGTCACTGATCCAAAAACATAAAATTTTGATTGGAAATCTAAATAAAAGCCAATAAACACCCTTTGTTGTTAGGGATTTTTTTTTAAATATCCCTCTTATTATACCATTTTTCAAAACTACTTTTTAGCTTTGTTAGTTTTGGAGAAAACTTTTTAGTGTCTATAATGAAGGGTTATAAGATTTTGAAAATGTGAATTTCAAATTCCTATTAGCTATGCATGTAAATATTGTTGGTTTTAAAGATAAAAAAGCTATGCGTGTACAATATCTATGCATGCAGAATTTCAAACTTCTCTACTCCTCTCTGACCATTTTAGAAAGTCTAAAAAGTAGATAATGAAAGCTTATCCTCATTGAAAGTTCAAACCACAAACCCGAGGAGCGAAATCACATCAAACAAAACACAAAAGAGCAAAACATATCAGTCAACATTGGTGTCTTAAAATCCACAATTGTCCAAATATCTCATCCCTCTCTTACTCGCCATTAATAAAAGTCTGTAAGTTTAAAACACAAAAACCTTCTTCCTTCACTTCTTGAGTCACCCCAACAACACACTCTTTCTAACTTCACTTAATCCAAAACCCGAAACCATGAGCTTCCGCGACCCGAATCCAATGAGCCCACCCGGTATCAATTCGGATCCGGTGAGCTTCACTATAAAAAGCAAAATCATGCTCACCACCACAATCTTAATCTTATTCATTGCCATTCTTATGGTCTCTCTCCACCTCTGTTCACGATGGTATCTCCTCCGTTCTAGCCGCTTCAACCGCACCGCCGCCGCACTTACCTTCTTCGCAAACCCTTCCTCCACCGCCGTCGTCACTACTAGTGGTGGCCTTAACCCCTCTGTCATCAAATCTCTTCCAATTTTCACGTTCTCCGCCGCAACCGCCCAAAAAAACGCTATCGAATGTGCAGTTTGCCTCTCGGCCTTCGTGGATAACGAATCGGGTCGGGTTTTGCCCAATTGCAAGCATACATTTCACGTTCACTGCATCGATATGTGGTTTCATTCTCATTCCTCTTGTCCTCTCTGTCGATCGCTAATCGAACCTTTCGCCGGAGGAGTGAAATCGACGACGGATGAAGTCGCGATTTCGATTTCTGACCTGGTTTCCAGTGACATGAACCGCCACGAAGGAACTGAGACTTCCGGTAACCCGGACCCTGAAGATTCCCGGAGAAAACCGGCGGCGATTGAAATCCCACGGAGGAATCACGGAGAAATGGAAAACGATTTGACTCCGAGTCAAACATTGAGATCACCGATGAGCCGGGTGATATCTTTCACTCGGAATTTGAGTCGAGATCGGAGAAGTGCTTCTTCTTCTTCACCGGTCTGTAGCATGCCGGTGAGGGCGTTAGATATCGAATTGGGAGGAGAAGAGACTCGTTGACTTATTAGTATTCAATGTGACTACCACGTGGACATGTATTATTGGTCGTAATTTATATGTTCATTTTTCTCGGTTTAGAGTTTAATATGAAAGTAAAAACAATTCTTTCTCATGTCTCAGTCACTTCTATTCGTCAGCCGTTCTTGAATACCAAAAAGTATTAAACTCTAATTTGATTTATTTAAATACCAAAATTCATCTATTATTTAATGCTTTTAGACCATTAAAAATCTTTTTTATGATAAAAATTGTTAGAATAAAGTCTGATATCTACATATACATTTTTACAGGGAATTTTTGCAAAAAGTCTTTTGGATCCGGGTTTTATCCGGGATTAACTCTATCCGGATCTTGGATAAGGAATTTTAGGAATATTGTCTTAAAACCACATTAATTCTTAATTAACACCTAAATTGGAAATATATATAATATATCTAAACTAACCATATTTGTTATTTACCTTAACTACTTCTAACCATAATTATTTAACTATTTATTTCTATATAGAAAGAATATGTGATTAAAATAAATATTTTGTAAAATATTTATTTGGGAAAAAATTGTTCATACGAAAATAATTTATTTTGTTATAAAAATTAATATTTGTTATTTGTAATTAAATTACATAAATAATAATAATAATTTGTCTACACCATCAAATGAAAATAGTTAGTTATTTAATTTTTTATTTAATATTACGTAATTTTTAAAAAATAAAGAGAAATTGTTAAAAATGCCCCTTTTTCAATACCCCTTTTCAAAAATGCCCCCTTTGAGAGTCCATTTTTAAGTTTGCCCTCTTTTAATTTTTAATGACCATTTTACCCTTATTTGAAACAAAATTAGGTCCACAAAATACAAAATATTTTTTGGCGGGAAAAGTGATCCCGCAATTTTCCCGCCAAAACACTTGTAAAAACCTTTAAAAAACCTTGTAAAATTTTCCCGTAAAAATTTTTCCCGCCAAAAAATTTTCCCGCCAAAAAATTTTTTTGCAGGAAAAGTGATTCCGCAATTTTTTTTGCGAAATTTTTTTGGCGGGAAAATTTTTGGCGGGAAAAATTTACAAGGTATTTTAAAGGTTTTTACAAGGTATTTACAAGTGTTTTGTAAGGTTTTACAATGTATTTTAAAAGGTTTTACAAGGTACTTTAAGGTTTTATAAGGTATTTATAACTTGTAAAACCTTATAAAAAACTTGTAAAACCTTATAACTTGTAAAAATCTTATAAAATAGCTTGTAAAATCTTATAATATCTTATAAATACCTTGTAAATACGTTGTAAAACTTTTTAAAATACATTGTAAAACCTTATAAATACCTTGTAAAAAACCTTTAAAATTTTTGGCGGGAAAAATTTTTCCGCCAAAAATTTAACGCCAAAAAAATTGCGGAATCACTTTTCCCGCAAAAAAAATTTTTTGGCGGGAAAATTTTTTGGCGGGAAAAATTTTACGGGAAAATTTTACAAGGTATTTTAAAGGTTTTACAAATTTTTACAAGTGTTTTGGCGGGAAAAATTGGGGGATCACTTTTCCCGCCAAAAAATATTTTGTATTTTGTGGACCTAATTTTGTTATATTTCCTTATATATTTATGATATCTTTTATTAAAAGAAGGGTAATTTAGTCATTTTGTACATAAAAGGGGTATTTTTAAAAATGGACATCCAAATGGGGCATTTTTGAAAAGGGGTATTGAAAAAGGGGCATTTTTGTGAGTCTCCCAAAAATAAATTCAACAATATAATGTCAATGGGTTTAATTCTAAAGATTTGAAAATATTAAAAAATATACTAACCAAAAATTATCTATCCTAATTTGTTTCTAACAATTTGGACACAAATCTTTCAAATCTTTCAAAAATTTAATGTGATCACATTTGTTACTAAAATCTCGATTATATTCCTAAAAATCTCGAGAAGATCTTCATTTAAATCTGCAAATTATAATTTATGAATTAAATAAACTAACAATACGAATATTCCTAATATATTTGAGTACCATAACGAAATTAATTCTTTAATTAGACATATATTTTCGAAATTATCTTAAATGCTTATCATTCCAAAAATTAAATTGATTTCGAATATTTTCACAATCTAAATTAATTACTATAACATACTTTATCTCAACTATTGTTCCTAAAATATTGCTTAAATCTCGATTTTAAAGAAACTAATTACTCTATATATATTTTGAAATAATTAGATTTGGATCCTTTCTTTATTTGAACGGTTTATCAAAATTATATTCCTATAATAGATTGTAAAACATTAATGCACTATTACGAGTATATGCATTTCAAGGAAAATCTTTGATATTTATACTCCTAATAAATAGCCTATTTTAATTGCAAAAATCTTTCATATTAATGCTTCTGTATAAATATGCAGATTTTAACCGTATATAATAATA